CACACAACGCATCTTCAGGTTCTTCAACTTTATTTTCCGGGACGTTCTCTATTTCCCAAAATTTTTCTAACGAATTACTTAACGACATATCTCCGTTTGACACGCAGACTAATGAAGTGGATGGCGACGATACGTGTGAATCAGTGGGACCCAATAAAATATAACCGAACACAGTATTAAGGGCATCAGGCATTCCCTCCTGTCCTATCAGTTTGTCCCCTAAAAGCATCTTTGCAAATATGCTACAACCGATTAAGAGATCAATGCTCTGTTTACGATAGAACTCTGGGTCGCCTAGACGTAAATTTCTAATATGGTTCCACGAAGAAATATCGATTTCAGTACTCGGCAATTCACCGCAAACCCGATCTGTGATTACAGCTTCCAAACTAAACACAGGCGAATCCGTGTGTCTAGGCTGAATCGAGAAACTAATAGAACCCTGATTTAATTTAGTTTTCATAGAGTCAAGCCCGACTATTTCTAACGAACACGATTTTTTTGGAAATCCTAATTTGTTCGCTGCTTTTCGAGAAATGAATGAGCTCATGGAGGCTGAGTCCACAAGACATCGAAGGGGAATTTTCCCCCCTTTACAATCAATGGCATGAACCACAACGGTTCCAAGTAGCACTTCTTGTTTCGATTCAACCTTTTTAGTAACCAAGCTAGTACTACAATGCGACGGATTTGTAGGATTTTCCTCAATTTCGTTTGAAGCTCCACTTTCCGATGAACGAGGACTATTCGACCGATCCTTACCGAAATGTAACAATACGTTATGTAAGGGGCTTTGACATTTACTACAAGCAAATTTTTTAGGACACGATTTGGTAATATGATTTGTCTTGTTAAGACACCGAAAACAACACGATGACGATTTACAAAATTCATATCTCTCTTTCGGAGATTTTTTCAAAAAAGACGAACAATGGTTTAAATAATGATTCTGTTTACACAATGGACACTGCAGCGACGACGACGAATTTACTAAAAACGATGAGCTATGGCTCCTGGTTTTTGCTTCAGTCCATTTGTGCCTAGGATCATTTGCAGCTGTGGTCGACGAGCGCGACGAATTCTTACTCTCTCCTCGCCCAATATTGAGATTATCATACGCGATATATTGAGTTTCCACAAACGTTACCAAACTGTTAAACGATGGGATTCGATCTGATTTGTTTTCCAATTCAAATAATTTTATCGTATCCGCGTCTAAACGTGATAACAAAAGATTAAATAATATAAAATCCCAACTATCTGTGGGCAACCCTAAAGTTTTCAATGCAGCTAAATTTTCTTGGAATGTATCTACTAAATTTGATAACGATTTTGAACTGACCACTGCCACTTTAGGAGCATTCATTAAGGCCTCCCAATGTGCCGTAGCTCGTCGACGAATATTCGAATATCTTTTTTCTAATAAACTGTAAGCAATTGCATAATTTTCATTGGTAATGCTCAAATTTCGAATTAAACTGAGGGGGGGACCCTCCAAACTACTTTTCAAATACCGAAACCGTTCTACATCCGTCAAATTTGAATTGTTGTGTACCATGGAATTGAATAGATCTAAATACGACATGAATTCTTTAAAATCTCCCCGAAATGAAGGCAACGAAAGTTTTGGTAGAAGAATGGTCGAATTATTATGCCCGGCGGACGAGAGAGAATCATTATTGGCATTACCCGAGGGAGAGTTAAACATATCAAATTCTATCGATTTTATTTCGTAAAATTGTTCCAAAAAAAATTCTCTTACTTTTTCCTCGTCATCTATACCCGCATCAGGGACCGACAAAAGATTGCTAATAATTCCCGAATGATGTTTGCAAAATTCCGCTCTAATTGCTTCCAAGTCTTCCAATCTAACCTTAAATAAAGTTTTATACGAAATATCAGTTTTTGCCTTTCTCGCTATATCTAATATAATTTGTATATCGTTCAACGACATTTTCCGTAAAGTCTGCAGTTTTTTATTCTTCTCTGTAACTTTATCCATGTTTTATCAATTATTATTTACCTCAAATTTCAAACGATAACAAGACAAATAATGCGTTTACACGATCAACTAATATTGGCAACGTCGAATTTTAATCGCACCGTTTAGACAAAAAGATGTTCCAACTTTTTATGCGAACCCAAATTAAAAAATTAACTTCGGCCTATAACGAGATTCAATAATCGAGAACCGATAATATTCAAATGCCGGCAAATAAATAGCGAAACGAAAAAACCTTATATTATCATATTCCAGCTACCGGTAAATCGCATTAAAAAACGTTTATTTTCAAACTACTAAAAAGAGTGTTATCATTTAACAAAAATAAATATTTTTCAACAAATACATATGTAACACTTAACAAAGCGAAATAACCCAACGAAACACTATTTCAAACTCCAAAAAAAATTTATCAGCTAGTTTATATCCGGCTCGAAGGACCAAATGTATGAATATGAAAAGTAATTGTCTAAAAGAAAATAAATTCAGCCTTTAGACTCATATGTAAATTTTTTATAGCAAAATTTTTTCCTTCGATAGCTACAAGCGGAGGAGATTTAAAAATGGGTGTAAATTCCGTAGGTCTTTTGATAATATCCAATCGAGCTATAAATGGTAGCAAAAATATAGGAAACGAAAAATAGGTACTTACAAGATATTTTGGCCGGCAAACATATCACGAAACGAAACTTTTCACCATAACTTCTGCACGTGGTCACCAACGTGGTCGCATATCTTCGTTCAACCAACTGTCTCTTGCTTCTCTTTTGAAGCCAATCCATGTTTATGCCGAATGCCGAATAACATCGTTGCCACATGTAACGAGGGGAAAAGGGAACCAGGGAAAAGGACATGAACCAATTAAAGCTCGACCTGGCTCGTCTACCAATGAATGATTACCGAACAGTTTTATTGTTACATACAATGTATTTTAGTTAATTTTTTTGTTTTATCATGTTAACCAAAATTTCCCGTTGCTAACTTTCTATATGTCATATTAAAACTTCAGAAAATAAACTGTCACCGATTAGGGAAAAAATTTAAATAATTTAGCAGACAGCAAGAGAACAATAAGTATAATCCGACAAGCGAGATCAGGCGGGTGAGCTGCGCGAAAATAGAAAAGGAATTATTCTAAGAGAGATAGGAGAGGTACTTAATCGCGGGTGTCACAAATGCGTAGTTGCCGTATCAAAAATTTAGTTGGGAACTGAAAATTACGTTAGTAAATATACGTTGTATACTTACCATATCATTATGTTAGACAATTGATGCAAAAGTTTTGACCCATTTTTGAATTAAATATAATTAAAATAAATGTATAAAAATTTTAAATTGATGATTTTACTTTTATTTAAACCTAACAAAATCAATCATATGAATCATATATATATATATATATATTTATGTAGAATAAGTCCTGCACATAACAAGTGTTAACTCACTTAGGTGCAAAGTTATATAAAAAGTATGATACATATACATATATATTACCTATAACATTATTCTTCAATAAATATAACAATTTCACTTAAAATAACAGTTTTATTATCAATAATAGTGAATTGTAAATTATTATTTAATTGATCCATTGTTTACTTATTATTTACTGGTAATCTAACTGCACTGTAATTTTTTATTTATTGATTTTAATTTTATTGATTGTAACTTAACTTAAATTAAATTATTTAAATCTGAATTTATTTAAAAAATGAGTATTATAATTACCAGTTCAGTGAGTTACACATTCTTGTATCTTTTTTAAATCAACTAAAACTTTATCTACATTAGCTTCTTCGGTTGTAAATGTAAAAACATTGAAATTTATTTCTAATGCTTGAGATCCCAAAGGTTTGCCCATTAATACACTTGCCATTTTAATAAATATAAATAATAGTTTATAATATAGGGTCACTCCAAATAAAAATGTAAATGCTTGTCAACACTGTCAGAAATCTAGCACTAAACGCAACAATGTGAACTCCTAGTCAACAACAATAGAAATGAGCAATCCCTTCCACTTTTCAATTTGTTCTATGTGCAACCTGCCAGCTCTTGCTTGTTGGATAGTAATGGGAATTAAGTGGTTTTTTATGTTATTAATTTTATATATTGTAGAAATTTGAGTTACTTTTCGCAAATAAATATAGTTTACTACAAATCCGTCAATTGCTAGCTGAACAATAAAGACAAATTCCCAACAAGTTGGGAGAGGCATATGTCCAAAAATGGATGATAGAAGGCTAAGAAGAAGAAAGGATATTGTTATTTCCAATTTAATATATTCAGTTAATTACTATTTAACTTTGAATAAGCCACAATTAAAGATAAACATATGTTTATTGACATTTTAATTTTAATTTCCACTGCGGAAATCATTCTCAAAATACAAACAGTAAATTTACTGTTTGTAAATTTACTCAATTTACTGTTTGTATTTTGAGAATGATTTCGGAAGTGGAAATTGAAACGTCAATAAACATATTTTTATCTTTAATTGTGGCTTATTCCCAGTTAAATAGTAATTAATTTAAAATGCCACAAGAAAATAGCTTCAGAACAATAATATATTCAGCTTTATAACAGGATACAACATAAATACATAAAAAAATTCCATGAATTATGACAATATTTAATATTTCATTATTAGGAAAATATATAAAACCATCTAACTTATTAAAAATTTACAATCACAAATTGTTTTAATAATTTCAACTGTTAATCTCAAAGCCTCCAGTATACACTGAGATACCATAATTACAAATAATGGTCTGATCATATAATATCAGAGAGATATTCATATTAATTATTCTGCAACACTAATATGTCACTGTAATATTACAATTATGTCTTTACACTTTGTATCCATATCTGAATATAAAAAGTAGAAAAATACATGCTCTTCTGATGGAAATTAAATATATATATATATATATATATATATATATATATATATATATATATATATATATATTTTTTTTTTGTTAAATTTGTGTTTTAAGAAAGCAAAAAACTGTACACAAGTTTTGAATACGAGGTTATATTCTGAATTCCTTGTGTAGTAATCACTAACCATCCAAAAGAAAGAATGCTTATTCCTGCTTAAGTCCTGCTTAAACAACATTTTTTTTCAATAGTAAATATAATATTTCGATTTATAAATATACTACTTAACACATTGACATGTTAGACTACCTAAGATATAAACATTATTATCATTTAGACATATTTTATTAAAAAATATATAATTGTATCTATTTTTGTATAAATATTAACAGCTTCCTGCCCCAGGTAGTTCTTTCACTTTCTACCACTTTTTTCATATTACACTCTTTGACTAATATATCCTGAATGTCATTTTCTACACTTTCTCTGATTTTAAGTTTAGAAAATTCTGAAAAAACAAAGTCCTTTTGCTTCATTCTTTTCACAGCAGTTTTATAACACTTCCAGGGTTGTGGTTCAACTATAATCATATCTGAAATAGTACTAATGTATTTTAGAAACTTCTTTAAGCCCAAGTCACCATGGTTTAGGTGGATCCACATTGTTGTGGAAAAACAAAACAGTGCCGTAAATCTCTTAAGGCTGTGATCTTTAAGATAGCTGTTTATGATGGCATCCCTTTCATTTTCTTCCATTATATCTAAACATTGAAATTTTATATTATTTATTTTAACATCCTTTGCTCGATCTATTAACACAGGATCAATATCTACAGCCAGAATGGAAGTGTCTTTTGATACATGCTCTTCAAAGAATTCCTTTAAAGCTATAGTTAGATTCTGTAATATAGAATTTAAAAAAACATTTTAAAATGTCCAAAGTAGAAACATTAGATATTTACCCCAGTGTTACAGCCAATATCCAAAGCAACAAATGGTTTATGTTGATTCCAAATATATTTGGGTAATAAAGTGATGCGATCATCTGGGGAATGGAATTGATAGTAATTTATAAAATTTCCAAACTGTACAGCACCTGGGTTCCCTCCCTTGAACTGTAGTTTACAATCATCCATAGGATTCATAATTTGTATTTAAATGTGTATTACAATTTGCCATAGATATTTTCAGTTTAAAATACTCATGAAATATATGTTTTTGTTTTTAGGAACTATTAGCACAGTATAAATAACAACTCTATACTGTGCTATTAGTACCTACTAGGTTAATGTTAGTTTTAATCTTCTGTTTTAGGTTTTAGAGGAATATTTCACAAGGAACTCATCCAAATGTTATTAAATAATATTAATTATTTTAAAAAGAATATTTTTATGATTTTGTCTTTTGAGGAAAACAAAATTATAATCCGTTCGCTCATTTTGGGAATATTTCTTTTACTTTTGGGTTTACTTTTGCAAACATGAAAAAAAGAAGAATAATCATGAGTAATGGGAGTGTATATTCATTCCATGGACGTATAAACATAGAATTCGTTTTCATTAAAACTTTGCATTTGTAAATATTATTTTATAAACGACTATAAAATTTTAAAAATAAACTTGTTTTCATTGATGCAATTTTATTAAAACGAATACTTCGTATCGCTCGGTTAATATGTTTGCACGGGACCACGGGACCGAAATCCTATTAAAGGTCGATTCAAACCATCGATTCAAACACATCAGTCCCGTCACAGTCCCGACGCCGAACCGGTCCTGTTTGGTCACCGAACTATTAATTATCTGACAGCTGGGAAACTGTTCGTCAACTGATGAATGTGAATGCCGGCGGCATATTTCTATTAAAGAATATTTTGTATGACGGATTGTTCGGTTCGGCTCCGGGACTGTGACGAGTCGTGACTGATGTGTTTGAATCGACCTTTAGCGTGACTTGAAAAATCGAGACTTCTGTAGTAATCTTGCGGTATGCCGTAATATACGTAAGTATATATAAACTTATAATTTTATATATTTTTTTCTTGGTAGAGAAATTTTCTCAGGATAGGAAGAGATAGATGGAAGGAGTTGGGAGAGACCTTTGTCCAAAAAGGGACGCGAGAAGGCTTAAGATCGATTCAGATACATCAGTCACGTATCGTCACAGTCCTGGCGCCGAACCGAATAATCCGTCATACAAAATATTCTTTGATATAAATATTGCGCCGACATTCAGATTCATCAGGCGACGAACAGTTTCCCAGCTGTCAAATAATTAATAGTTCTGTGACCAAACAGGACCGGTTTGGCGCCGAGACTGTGACGGGACTGATGTGTCTGAATCGACCTTAAGAAGAAGATGAAGCCATTATATATTATATCTTGTCAATTTCCAATTTTTCTTTCAAAGCCTCGCATACTTCGTTTCTAAACGATTTAAGAGCTCTTTATCTTTTTAGGTAGGTAGGTATTCATCGGTTTCATGGTGTTTATTCTTTCTTTTCTTTCCTTTTCTTTATAATTTTGTTTATTCCTTTTCAAATGTGCTCTTCTGTCGGTATGCCATATATGTCCGTATATACCAGTGATTTTCATCTATATAATCGGTTTTTAACAGTTTATTAATCTGCGTTATTATTTTGTCCCTTCGTGTGATTACAACTTCTTAGAAATTCAATCTCTGTTGCCTATATTTTTTATTTATGTTTCTTATTTATTATGCAGTTATTTACTTATTTTTATGTGTGTATATTCTCATTTTTGTGATGTAATGCTTCTGTTACAGAGTTTAGTTTTTTTATAGTTATTAATCTGTTTGATATTATAAATCCTAAATACTTAAATTTAGGTGTTTCTGTGATTTGTCTTCCTTCGTCTAATTCCAGTTGTCTTATATTGTTACTTTCCGATGATAAATATTCGGTTTTGTTTAGGTTAATCTCTATTTCTTGTTTTCTAATCATAAAAATTAATTAGACGTCTTTGTTTTTGAACAAAGTGGAGGATGTTTTGAACAGTCGTGCAGTAAGCCGCGCTTTTTTTGTCTTAAAAAGCTATATACCATCCTTGTTTTATATTATGAAATAAACACATTTTATGTATGTTATATTTTAATTACTTTGTTATCATTGGAGCTTTCATTGCTTTTGTTGGCTTTTTTGGAACTGTGATATCGTTCATTACTTTCCATAGTTAAATTCTAAGTATTGAGTCTTGTGAATTATTGAAATCGATCAATTCTAAATTGTACATCTTTCATTAACTCATGATACGCATCCAAGGATGCGGAACTCTGTACCAGCTTCTATCAACTTATACCATCCTATAATGGAACCTATTATGACCCAGAGGTGATTCTTGCTTGTTTTTCGCAATACTTACGCCTTACTAGCATATGTCAGTTCAATGTCAATTTCGCCATATATTTAACCGGATATGCTTTTTCTGTAAGAGATACCTTGCTTGCAGATCCAGGCCTTTTTCCGGTCTCGGATAATGCCTTTTGGCACTCCCACGACCAACTCTGGACCTAAGTATTTTGTATCTGAGGCTCTTCTAGCAATTTTACCAGCTTTTTCATTGTCGTATATTCGGCGGTGACCTGAAAATAATACCAGTGATGTACAACATGTACAACAGTGTGACACTGTTGTGTTCAGCTCATCTGTCGAGTTCCTCTTGGCATTCCTACACTGCCTTTTTTTCACCGGACACCGGACTCAAGATAAATATATAAACGAAATAAAAATATATTTAAATAAATAACAAAATAAAATGAACTTTTATATATTATGTACAATCAAAGAAAAATACGAATCCTATTGAATAAAATCGACGGCACTACGGTCCGTTGTTGATACATGCAAAAAATAGATATTGGCGATACTAGGATGGTTGAGGTAAAACACGACGTTTTGGTCAATACCCAAACGCCATTGAAGACTAATCAATACTTAGTCTAGATTAGAAGTGGCCGATCGATCACTACTCGATAACGGACAAGGAGCCTATGCGATCAATCGCAGAAGAAAAGCATCTTAGCAGGTCAATATTCCTGCTTGAACTCTCAGGACGCTTGTCATTTGATCAATACTCAAAAGCCCGGGGTTGAAGTTCTTACCAGATCAGTTCTCCGGTTCGATTCGAACTAAGAAGTTCTCTGTTGCGGTGGTCGACATTATATCGTTGCCGGTGTTCCATCTGTAGCGCGCATCGATGGTAGTGGTAGCTTGTCGGTGGGAGCGCATGCGTAGATGGTAAGCTGACGGTAAGAGCTGGCGAATCCATCGTTACACGCTTCGGTTTGAAAACTCTTGCTGTAATTTCTCTTGCACAATGCAAGATTGCAAAAATATCTGAATGAATACAGAAGTCTATTCTCAAAGTCAAATAGAAATATTTAAATTTTCACCACTAATGAATATTTTTGCAGCCTAATCTTGTGCATTTTTTGACGCGTACGCTCCATCTCTGGTCTGGAAATATCTATTTGAAAATATACTTGTATATGGGTACCATATAATGAAAAAAATAGAGGCCTTTGAGATGTGGATTTATCGACAAGTATGGCGGATAAGTTGGGTTGATCAAATAAGAAATGAAATAGTTTTACATCGAATGAAAAAGAGCACAGAAATAACAAAAACGATAAAAATTCGAAAGTTACAATATTTCAGTCATGTAATGAGACATCCAGAGATGCCTCTGGCTACCCGTGCTAAACCTGTATCTACACCTCATAATACAGGGTAAGATCGCCGGAAGGAGAGGCCCAGGCCGACGAAGAACATCGTGGCTCCGAAATCTTCGAGAATGGTATTAAGAAACCACAGCTAATTTATTTAGAGCCGCCGTAAATAAAGTTATTATTGTCAATATGATCGCCAACGTTCGATACTCGGACTGGGTAGGTACTGAAAGAAGAAGAAGATGGCCAGAAATCATCATCCATTCGGTATCCCTGATTTAATACATGATATTACTATGTCCCGATCTAACCGTTACTTTGATTAGGTTTTCTCACAGTCTGTAATATATCATTCTCGTCTCCCCCTTATAAATTGTGTAAAGGAATTAGGTCCAGCAGGGCCTCCATAACTTCGTCAATGTGTCCGTTATAGCTCCTGTAATTCCAAAACAAATGTTACCAAACCTTGCTTAGTTTGATGATAGCAGTTTTTTGCTGCTCCTGTGGTCATCATACCACTGACACATGTGTAATTGTTGGTTTTACCACCATGTTATACCACCAACGTAATATGCCTGGTTTTAAACCCCACATTTTTCCATGAATGCGCCTAGCTACCGTTAACATAATTAACACTCTCGTGGTTCTTAGTTCTATGTGCTGATTCCAAGTAAAACTTGATTTTAATGTTACCCTAAGATACTTTACATCACTTACCAGATTTAGATTATACCGTTTAGGCTTAGAGGTCCCAATCACTCTAAATTCCTACTTCTCGTAAATTTCATGATTTCGAACTTCTGGGGGATTATTATTGTTTAGACATAAATTTTATTTTGTTAAGCTTAGGTACTTGTGTAGTAAAAGACAAGGCAAGCCTGTCATGATTGATGTAACGGCTGTCAAATGATAATTTCGCTCTCTTGTCATGCAGCAATAAATAGGTAAACACGTCTCCCTAATTAATTAAAGTTTTTTATATTTGTAATAATAAATGGTACAAGCAGGAATATGGTAAATCATCAATGATTAGCCAGAAGTTCATACATATTTAGTTTTTGGTCCAATTCGAGCGGATGGAATGAATATCTGAAGTAAAAACAGCGAAAATTGTCAAATAAAAATAAAAGGTTAAACACGACATTCAGTGCCAGCCCAGCCGATGTCAGTTTGAAAGGTTTATAAGGTTTATATATTATATATTTATAACGTTACGACATTCAGTGCAGAAGCCGATGTCAATTTGAAAAGGTTAAGGTTACGACATTCAGTGCCAAGGAAGCCAATGTTGATTTGAGGTTATAAAACCATATAAGGTAAGTGACTTTGGTTCATTGTATTTTTCATCTGTGCAACAATGGCTGAGCAAGAGTTAAAGAGTTTAAAATCAAAAAGGGGAGTAGTTAAAGGGAAACTTACAAGGTTTAAGAATTATTTTGATAATATTGATAAGGATTATGTGTCTAAAAAGTTAATCACAGAACTAGAGTTAAGGTTAAGCAAGATTTCACCCTTGTATGAAGATTTTCATGAGATTCAAGAAAAAATTGATGAAATAGAGCAGAGTAATGATGATATAAATGAAATTAA